GGAGACCGGAGGGAGGAGGTTGTGGGGAGAGGGAGGAGGTTGTGGGGAAGGGGAGACTGGGAGGGAGGAGGTTGTGGGGAGGGGGAGACCAGGGGGCAGGAGGTTATGGGGAGAGGGGCTGTAGAGGAGAGGGAGGTGGGGATGAGCTTTTGGGAAGAGGGGAAAGCTGTGAGGAGAGGAATTGTAGGCTGAGGGCTGCCTGAAAGTAGGGATTTCTGTCTTGATGGGTTAGAAGGGAGCAGTGTTCTGTCCCTGAGCCCCCTCTTCTCCCCTTCCCAGAAGGGGTTTCCTGTGGCCCTGACAGAGCAGTGTCCTTTTACCTCTCCTTCCCCTTTCTCCAGAGGGTAAGAGGCAGCTTCCCAGGGGCATTTCTCTGGGGCCCTCTCCCCTCCTTTTCCCTTCCTGTTACTCTCTTGCCCAACACTACAAATATGACCTGTTTCTCACCCACCAGCACCATGATATGTCAGTTTAATGAAATACCTCTCTCCTCCTCCCAGCCTGCTCTGTGCTGGGACTGTCAGAGGCTGCTGTTGTGCAACCTCTGTGCAAGGGGACACAGAAACTCGATAGCACCTTGGTTTCCACTCAGCATAGTGGGAATAATAGCTATGCCCTTTGGGAAGGAGTTGTATGGGGATCAAAGTTCATGAGGCAGTCTGCTCAGGCACTAATGATGGTGTTTTGAGATTGTTATTGAGGGACCTGCAGGTATTTCATCAGTGAGTTAACCTCCAGCCAAGTCCTAATTTAAAATGTGGTTTATTTGTGGAATGGGACAGGAGTATCCAAGAAGAGCTTTGACCTCTTTCTGTTTTCATGAACTTTTAATTTTAATTTTTTCTCCTATCTTGCACCTCGAGGTGCAGCAAGGGAAATGCTGGATGGTTTCTCACCCCCTTCCTACTGAGGTTTGTGGAGGCTGAGTTTGTTTTCCTCTTCTGTTCTGTCCCCAGAGGCCTTAGTTATTAATGACCCTGACTTCCAGCATGAGGATCTGAACTTCCTGTCCCGTAGCCAACGCTATGAGGAAGCCATCAGGAAGAGCTCCCTGATGGTGATGAAGTTGAGAGAATATGGAATTGCAGATCCAGATGAGATCTACTGGTTTAAAAGGTACCTAGCTGTGGAGTTTGCTTCTTGTGTGTGCTTTGATCATCACAAGGACATTAGAGTTGGGCTTTATTTTTCTTTTTTTCTACATTTGCTGTCCAAAGGAACCTGTGAACCTGTACAAAACCCACTGCAGTCTTGGCTTCAGTGAATTTCAGATGAAACCCTGATTGTTTTCTTATTTTATTTTTTTTTACTAGAAATGCACCATCAATAATGACACCTTATTTATTATACATGGTGCAGAGGGTAAAAAATGAGACTTCTACTCCAATATATTTATTTTTTTCCAAAAGGAATAAAAACATATACTGAGATATTTGGAATCTGAATAGGTCTTGTGAGGCTGTGTTTTCTAATGAAATCTCATAAAGCTGATTACTTCACTTTGCACTTAGACCTGATAAAGTTGTATTACAGGCATGCTTGAAAATGTTCCAAGATAGCTTGTGAGTTCTCATTTATAACTGTCCTGTCTCCCTCCTCCAAGCTCCTGGTGCTGTAGTGGCTCCTTTTGCCCTAGAGGCATTTTATTTATCTGGTGGTATTACCCTTGGGTTAAGTTAATAAACCTGTCTTTACATCTGAGTTTCATTCATTGCAGCTTGCAGGGAACTTCATTCCTGACTTTGAGCTGTTTATCCCCTTAGTCCTGTTAAACTTACTTTGGTAGAATAAAACAGAAACAGCTTAACAGAGAGATCACACAGGTCTAGAAATCTGGGTGTAATACCACAAATATATCCTCTGGCACATTAAATGAACACTGTACATTAAATTATGTACTGGTAGAGTCACAAGCCCCCTCTGTCTGGATTTGTAGAAAAGCTACCATTGGTCTCAGGGCATGAATATTGGGACTAGTTACTTGAAATCATCTTGTCTGCTGTAGTTCTAATTTCAAAGGTGTTGGTCTACACTGACCTGTGTCATGAAAGTTCTTGTGGAAGTACTGAAAGAGTTATTTTGAAAACTGGCATTGGTGGACCATGACAACAAGAAGAAAGTTCAGTGACTACATCAGATTATTCAGGTAGTGTGTGGCAGAAGTTAATGATTTGTTTTTCCTACACAAAGGTTATTGGAGGTGATAGGGAAGTTGCTTCAGTTCTTTTTGTTTTGGTTTGGTTTTTTGTGGAGAAAATTCAGAGAAGTCTATCTGTATCCCAGCTGGCAAATTTCCATGATTTTTGCAATGTAAGTGCTGTCTTTTGGTAGCATTGCTGACAGTGTTTTATGAAAACAGGGTTTTTCTGGAGTAGTCAAGTACTAAATTATATTTTTCTTTCCAGAAGCTTGTTTGAGAGTCAGCAATTCTTTACTTGAATTGGGTGAAAGCTCAGTAGTTCATAAAGGTGCCAAATAATGCATCCATAGCCTGTGTGATAGGAATAGTCAGGTGTGACCAGTCAAAATTAATGTTCCCAAATTAACTGAGACAATGGGCAAGGTTTGCCTTTTTATTTTTCCAGAGTCAGTTCTAATTGGAGACATTCAGAATTTCAGAAGATAATTGCATTTACTGCAGCCTGACTGCATTTTCCAGTGTCTTCTGTAGCAACATGTAGAAGAATGAAGAGCTGTACATACACTTCTTACCTTGCTCTAAGAACTTGATATTGTTCATATTTTTTAATTCTTTACTATAATACCTGGTGCTTGCAAGGGAGGCTATTGGCTTAATGCTTCTTAACGAGTGGAAGAAATTAAAGGATTATTTTTCATCCTTTGATTTCGTTTGCATTTTAACATCTGGCCCCACTTTCACACCTACTGAGTGTCAGACATTTTTTAAACTTGGTGAACTCCACCAACTTGCAAAATTAAGTTGATTTCTATCACGTATCCAAATGTGCCAATTGGTGCTAACTAGAAGGGACTTGATTTGTGTAAAAGTTGATCTGGAGAAGCTGTGCTTGGGTTTATTCAGTTTGCCAGACTGGAAAATTAAATGGGTTTGTGACATAGCTGCAAAGAACTTCAGGAAATCGATTGCAGTCTTTGATTCAAATGTCAAGTTGTATTTATTGTGATTGACCCTCACATTTTCACATCTAGAAGTCAAAAATATTTTGCCAGTAATCTCTCAAGGCTTGTGATTACCCTCAAGCAGTAGGGACACATAAACAATTTTGAGAGTTTTGAGCTAGTTGTTTTCCTGTTGCTTTTGTATATTACCAGAACTTCAGTAGGAACCTTTTATTCCTGAGTGACCCAACTCTATAGCATGATTTATGAATAAATGAGGAGAAATTATTCTTCCTTCAGCTGCCCTGGAGATCTGCTTCAACAGTTGTTGATGCTGTGACATGTGGAACTGAATGCTCCTCCCTGATTCTACAAGGGCTGATTTGGACTCCTATGTTTTAGAGGATCTATTAAATATATTTAAAAGCCATTTTAATGGCTTTTCTTCCTGTGTCTCAACCTGTGTCACTCACAGTTGCTGCTGTGACCTCATCAGCCTTCAAGAGACAATATTTAAGATATCTTTTCCAGTCTTAACTGCAGCAAAATACATGTCAGCATGAAAAAAGGGAAGTTACTCTGATGTGTCATGCTCCACAGCTCTTTGAAGAGAGCAATCTGTTCAGTTTTAATTCACCTTCAAGTTTAAATAACCTTCATTAAGGAAAATGGGATTAAATGAAGAAGTGAAAAACAGTTGGGAGAAACTGGGCAGAGAAGAAGAGGAGAACCAAGAGCTGCAAGTCAACAGGTGATTCCAGTGTCTATAAGCATTGCAGGAATGTGCATTTTTCCTGTAAGAATTTGTCCTTGCTTCTCATTTGGCCACTGAAGTTAGGACTTGGAGTAGCTTTTGGCAAATCAAAACAGGAAAACTGTAGTAGGGGCCCTATGAGCCACTGCTAAATTAATTTGGAGTGGATGAGTCTGTCCTAGATTTGTTGATACAGCCAGAAAAGGAGCTTATTATTTGTCAACTCTGTAGCCCAGGTCAGACTGCTTGTCCTCCACTGAGGAATCGCTAAAAGCTGGAGAAATTTGCTTGTGGATTTAGCTTGAAAGTAAATGACCCTGTTCTGTGACCCAGTTCTGCAGCTTGAGAAGGTCTTTGCAATTGTTCATCTAGCTTTGGAGTCTCTGAAAACACAGACTTTGCTTTAGTTGTGCTCCCTTAGCTCCCAGATTTGGTTACCAAACTGATCTGTCAAATTCAAGTGCCTTCTACTCCATGGGTGGTGTGGGTTACTGTGAAATCTGGAAAGATCTATATTTCCAAAGTAGTGTGTGACTACACATCTTCCTCCTGTGTGTGGATTTGGAGTTGCAGCCCTCCTCTTGGTTCACAGATTGTTGTCACAAGTTCTGACTACAGACTCAGGAGGTAAATCTTGATGATTGATCAAATGGCTTGTGCGAGATGCAGCAGAGTGCTGGAACAGTTGAACAAGGCAGCCTTTGGAGAGCAAGCTGTGTGGGTAGTGGGAATGGAGAAACTGGGAGGGGAGAAAGAAATAGAAAACCTGTTGTTCCTCCCTTCGCATGTCGTGAGAAGAACAGAATTCTCTCTGTCATTCAGGTTGTTAAAAGGCATATTAAGAAAATCCTAATTGTTTAGTGGGGAGTAGTATGTAGAGATGGAAAGTCTGCTGTGAATTAGCTGGTGTTGGGTGCTGCTTTCAGCTTTGTTGATGCAAGAAGCTGCAAAAATGCAGCATATTTAATCAGTGGAATAGTATCACCTTCTGACACAGGGATGTTAAAGCATCTGCTTGCAAAATGGCATTTTGCTTATTCCTGCCAGAGAAAGTGATGGTTAAATGTGAACTATGTGGCATTTGTGGTTAAACTCACTGATAGGCAGTGAGACTTGGCTGGTGTGACCTTTTTTTTTCTGGAGCATTACCTTCAAAGAGATAGTGTCTGACCTGATTTTTCTGACAGCAAAGTATGTGCTGCACCTTTGTCACAAGTTCTTTCAATGAAAATACACAAGGCACTGTTCAAGCTCTTCCCAAGCTGCTCCAGACTTCCCAAGCTGCATTGTTTCAAAGCCAGTATTTGCTTTCTCCCTGTAGATTTGTTCTTTGTGGGCCCAAGCTGTAGATGCACAGTGATGGTGCTGTAGGCAGTGAGGAAGGAAAGGGTGCTGCTATTGCTGTGTGGGTCCTGGGCTAAAAGAAGGACACGGGAAACCACAAGAATGTTGAAAAATGTTCTGTCTTGCTGTCCTTGTAGCATTTTTAAGCCTTTTGTTACCCTGATAACTTTGGCTTTGTAAACATATGCTGCTGTAGGCAACAGAATATTTTCTGGTAAGAGAGCTGTCTGCCTTGATTCCAAGAACTCTAGACATTGCATTCACACCAGCTTAAAAAACATTTAATAAATTAATCACTAGCTTCAGATTACTTGATTACAATAGTTTTCCTCCTGGAAAAGAAATCCACCACTCATTCTGTCTTGTCTATTTAAAATAAGGGTCTTAAACATGCTCTTCAGTGGTGCTGAAGGTTTGTCCTGCTTTCCCTCACCCTAAGGCTGAATTTTACAGCTTGTACAGGGATCTGGTTTTGAGTTATCAATTATTTACTCTCTGCTCCCAAGGACTCATCCCAGGCAAGGTGTAAAATGCCAATCACAAATGCTGCTGTAGTTTGACAAACTGCATCCCCTGTGCAGTGCAGGTCTGTGTTGGCAGCAAACTCTTAAATGTGCTCCCTGGGCAGGTGTTAATACATATTATCCTTAATATTATTATCCTACCAGATTAAATTATGTTTCCCTTGTAAGGTGTTTGAGGTAGGTGGGAGGGATCTTGTACATAGATATCCATGCAGAGCACTCACTTGTTTCTCTTGCATCTTAGACTTTAGATGGAATAAACATTCTTGTGCAGAGTGATTGAAGCTTAAAAAACTGTTCAGGCTGCTGAGTGTTGAAGGGAACACACTGTCATTTGCTACTGAGCTTTTACACACTGAAACTTTCTAGCACGTTTGTGTTTAGAGCTTGCTTTAATTGGGAATGCACTTTCCTGCTGTCGTGGCTACTAAATTAATAGAGCTTTCTCTTAATGGAGTGATTTCTATTTTGATGAAGCACACTGAAAATGTCTGATCTCCTTTCCATTCCCTTCAGCACTAGCCTCTAACATGAATTTTAATTGAAGGTGAGTTCCTGATCTCACAGCTGATAGAAGCAGCTACAGGTAATACAGAGCTCTTCTGAAAACCATTTAGTCACCTAAAGCTTTTTCCTTTTCCATACATAGTGCCTCTAGCTAATTAATAATGGCCTAGTTCTAGGCTCCTTGGAGCAGTGGAATCTGTTCCCCCCAAAGCCTAAGAGATGGGAAAGAAAGCAACTTGGTCTTCATGTCCTCTGTTTTGAGTTCCCCATAAATCTTTGTAGAGTGCTATTTTTTCCAGTTACGTGGCAACAGCAGGATTCATGGAGCAAAGAAAATGCTTGAAAATAACATTTCTTTCCCCATTAGCATTCCTCCTGCTGCCTCCTGGTTTGGAGGTTGCTTGTGAAATAGTCAAAGAGTTTATTTATCTGATGCTACAGTTGGCAAAAAACCCTTTCAAGATCACAATAAGAGTAAGACTGAGATCCAGATCCCTTTATTTCTCTCCTGTAGAGCATGCTTGGGCAATTTTCAGGAACCTTTCAGTCTCCACTTCAGCATGTTTCAAAAAACCATGGAGACCCAAACGACTGATGCTCAGAAGGAGAAGTGGCTGCCTCTGGTCCGTGGCGTCGAGATAATTGGCACCTACGCCCAAACCGAAGTGGGACATGGTTAGTTCCCTTCAGGGATGGATGGGTAACCTCTTTTCTGTAACTCCAGTTTGTAAATTGATGATGCTCCCTTGGTAAATCTGAAAGGAGAAGGGTAAAATAGTCTGGTTAACCATTGGTGTTTCCTGCCAGGCAGCTGCTTCGTTTCACATCCTAACAATCCCAGAGTTAGTTTTGGTCTTTTCCAGAAAGCACCTCTTAGCTGATCACTGACTTTGTAGTTGTGTACCTTTGTTTTAAGATGAGGAGGTATTTCCAAGCCCTTCAAGTCTGAATTTCACCTGAAGTGGTTGCAACATGTCAGTCAACAGTACAGTGGTTTTGATTTTTGCCTGAATTTGGGGCATGTGTATCTCAGAGTTCTCAGGTCATGACTGGGCTGCATAAAGAAGTCAGAAACATACCTGGTGATGCAGTGTGGCAGGGCGAGATTGCACCTTTTTGGTTTTGAAAGTAAGGTATGCTTTGCCCCAAGCACTTCTCTTCCAGATGCTACTCCATTGCAGCTGCACAACTTCATGGGAAGATCTTGGTTTCAAAGAAGAAAAACATCTTTATTCCTACTCTTGTTGGGAAGGACTTTTACTTCTTCAAATGGGAGAACGTTCAATGGATCAGAAATCAGTCTTCTAGCCCAGAACCTGAAATTAATGGCTGTTAAATACCAGCAAGGATAGTTTAACAAACCCAAAGACTCCAGTGCTTGTGCTGGCATCTAAACTTGGAAAGAAGGAGATGTGTAAGTCTGGACAATGGCTGAAGATGGAGGATGATGCCAATTGCCTGTTGTTCAGTTACAGCTACTCATGGCAGCTGATACATTTGTAGATGCAGCAGAAGTGGAAAGAGCAAACCCACCTTGATGCTGGAAGCTGAGAGACAACTGGATGAACAATAAATGCCTGCTAACCTTATTTGATTTTATTTTTTTTTTTTTTCAAACCAACTTCTTTAAATCAGACACTCCTCCACACCAAAGTGATCTGTTTCACTTGCTATTTCACATTCAATCATTGCACTTTCTTGCCTGTTGAGGGTCTGGATTGCTTGTGGTTCTCATGGGTTTTAGTGGTAAAATGGGCATTTTGATACTTAACAGAAGTAATTTAGTAGGAGTATGGAAAAGAAAATACACTTTCCATGCTGAATAGTGAAAATGCAACTGTTTGGCATCCCTGCTGTATCAGCTGCTTCATCAGTGAAGCTGCAGTAATTGTCACTGAGCTCTTCTGAATTTAATCCTGATGTTTAGAAATTGATGATGGGGGAAGAGACCTCTAGATTATTGACTTGAATCCTAGTCTGGCTGGGTAGTTACTCAGTTTTATCTTACCTACTTGTTAGCCTGTGATTATAACCTAGTCCATAGTGAGTAAGTCTCTTGGAAAAAAAAAATAAAAGAAAGAAGAGGCAGAAATAGCAGGAAAGGAACCAAAAAGGAGTAAAGAAAAGTGTGTTCTGTTTCTCTGTGGTTTATAGCTATTGCTAGTAAATAAGGATTTGATTTCAGTCTTTGACTCTCATCTGTGTACTTCTCACCAGTACAAAACTCACCTAAAATCTGGTATTCCTGATGACCCATTAGCCATCTATTGATCTTGGTCACTGTTCAGTCATAAAGCTTATAAAACATTGCTTCCGTGTTTAGTTGATGGCTGAGTTTATTTGCAGGTGCCTGAGGGTATCAAAAGAAAGAATTACAGCTCTTAGGAAGCTCTAGGGATAGACCTTGTTGATAATAATGTGTATTTAGAGGTAACACAAGAATGCATTCTTCCCACCTTGAGCTGAGCTCAGATCAGTGCTTTTTCCATAATCCATATCTCATTTAAATAGATCTATTCCTGTTAAAGACCACATTATTTGATATATAAATGTGCCAGATGGACAACCTTTCTACAGAAGGTACCAATCCTCAGTTTATAGCCCCACTATTTAAATACTCAAAGCTATTAATATTTAAAGATTTAACAAGCATTTAGTTCTTTATATTGAAAAACTTAGTAGACCACTTAACTACCCAAAAGTGGTGTTTGAGAAGTTAGAGGAATAATAGTTCTAATGAAGTGTGTTTAATTGGAGAGACTGTGTGGTTTACAGGTTGAAAAATGTTGGCTTTCTTCTGGAGTTGGACTCAATGATCCTGATGGGTCCCTTTCAACTCAGCATATTCTATGATTCTTACCATGTTGTTTGTGTTCACAGCTTTGACTTCCATGTGCAAAGCACTGTCCTTTTAAGAGAGCTTTTAGAAACAGCAAAAGGTGAAGGGAGTCAAGACTGATCTTTAATTAAAGAAGTGAAGTAGATAGTACAGACAGCTAAGGCTTTCCTTTTTTAAGAAAGTTCAGTGAAAAACTACTCACTTGGCTGGATAAACTGGGACTTTACCAGGTTCTACCCTCAAACCATGAAAAAATAAAAGTGGACTTTTGTATCTTTGGGTGAAGAGTTGCTTCATCCAGCCAGATCACATCATCTAAAACAGACATTTTGACTCAGCCCATTTAACTTGGGTATCCTCTGCTTTCCAGTCCATAGTGAAGATCTGGTGTTGTCTTTCCTTGGTTTGGATTAATCCTTTTTTGTCAGCCATGCTGCATCAACACCACAGGAATGTTGCAAATGCATTTTCTGCACAGGAAGAAATGCATTGCAGCATGTCATTGTTGTATTGTTCAGGCCCGAGAAAAGGACAGTGCTCTGGCTTGCTGAACCACACTTGCTGAATTGCTCAATTCTGATTTACACATGAATCTTTTTGTTTTGTCTTTGTCTCTTCCTGAATCTCCTCCATGAATCCTCATGCTTGCTTCCCCCCCCTCCCCCATAACATTCCCTTCACACTCCCATCCCATAACGCTTCTTCACAGCTTTGTTCATCGTGGACGACCTGAGCCCCTGGACCTTCATCTGGGCATGTTCCTCCCCACCCTTCTCACCCAGGCAACCCCAGAGCAGCAGGATCGCTTCTTCATGCCTGCCTGGAACTTGGAGATCATTGGCACTTATGCCCAGACTGAAATGGGCCATGGTACAGTACATTCACTAAATGCTATTTTTAAGAATGGTTTGTGTGCAAAAGATTCTCCTGCTTGGAAAACAAATGGCTTGTGTTTTACCCCAGAGTTTTAACATATGCAGTTGTGGCTGCAGCAATGGGTGAAATTGTTAATGGATCTTTATGCCATGTGCTGCTTGTTCTTTTTTTCTCCTATGGGAGAGTTTGCCTGTATTTTTATATATATGTGCATCCTGAGAGCTCCTCTAGTGCCATTCAAACCAGGGTAGGTTGTTGCATGTGGCTGTGGTGGTGTCACTTGGATGACATCTGTTCATTTTTACACTTGCCCTTCTTTCCAGTGTGATTCCTGCTTTGCTTTACTTAACGTTCAGTGTGAAGACAAAAGGACAGAGCTTTGAGGTACTGAAAGAGATGCCAAAACCAGTAAGAGTTGCTCGTCACCTTGGGCTGAACATGGATCAGAGAACACGTGGATGACCTGGTTCCAGTGCTCATATTTTGTGGGGAGCTTTATTCCCCCCAGTTCATTAGTTCACTCCCATGTGTTCTTTTTAATTGGACCATGAAATGTGTTTTTTTAATCTGTCTGGAGTAGATTTTGTTCTTTGTTATTCCTTTGATTTCAAGCTTTGAAATGGATTTTGGTAACTCCAGCAGTCTTGTGATTGCAACACTTAACCCCAGTTTCAAAGGCAGGATATTATGCCTTCAGAAACTTTAATTTTGACATTTGAGAGTTGCAGGTGAGGATTATTTTCTAAAAATGAGCAGGATCCACCTTTGTGCTGGAGTGAAATGTAGAGACTGTGAAGCATAAAGTAACTGGAAGTCTGTGGAGAATCTCTTGCAACTGGTGAGGTTTGAAGACCTTTTGCAAGCCAAGTAAGTCTGTGTTAAGCTGCCTGTGGAAGTCCTCTATTAACTCCATGTGTTGGAAAGGTGTTTGCATCAAGGTGATACCTTTATCCATGTTGCAGCTCTTGTGTAGAGTCAGTGGCTCTTGCTTTGTCAGCCAGGTGTGTTCACAGCTTGTCTAGTGTTAAGCAGGTAGGTCTGGTGATGTTTTGGGCTTTTTTGATGCCACGCTGAGACAGGGGTGTGTGAAGTGAAGAGCTGGGGGCAGAAAACAAAGACTATCCCTGGAATTATTCCCTTCATCCTGTCTGCAGTCTCTTAATCTACCTGCATTAGTCCCTTAACATGCATGTGCCATTGCTTGTTGTCTTGGAGCTGTGGATGATCTTGTTTGGGAGAAACTGCTCCATCAGGCAAGGAGACTGTAGGCCTGGTGAGGGAATGAAGAGCTGACGGGCACTGCTTGTTTCATCTTGGGGCTGAGAAGTGTATGATTTGTATTTTGCAGTTGAATCAGATTGCAGATGTAGTGCAGTCCAGGTGAGCTTGTTTTCCTGGACCTTTTTAATGGAGAAAGGGCTTCTGGTGTAATAGCAAAAAGGTGTCAGATTGGAGGTGCTTGGAAAACTAGTCTTAGACCACTGGGAAGAAAACCAACAACATGTTTTTTGAGAATTGGCTTCAGGTCCCAGAATATGGTCTTTTACTTGTTCTTCCTTAATTGGTTGATATTTAGTCCTTTATCTAGCCTAAAGTTGAAACCTGTACATTACTACTGGAGTTGAACTTCCTCTTGCCCAGTTCTGTCCTTGTCTCTGTATTGTGACTGATTTTCTGCCAAAACAATGTGTTTGCTTATTTTCAGGAACTCATCTTCGGGGTCTAGAAACTACAGCTACTTATGACCCTGCTACCCAGGAGTTCATCCTCAACAGCCCCACTGTGACCTCCATCAAATGGTGGCCAGGTGGACGTAAGTGCATTACAGTGTGTCTGTGTCTGGAACATGCATGGAAAAACCTAGGGAGGTGATGTCATGTGTCTTGTATCTCCAGAGTGGTGATTGAAAGTTGATCCAGAGCTGGCTGGAAGGCAGTGACTCTTGCACAATGAGTAACAGACTTATCAGAGCCTACCAAAAACCTGGCTTATCTGTGTGCTCTGGATTATTTCTCAGAGTCATATACAGTGTGAATTTAGTATCATTTTGGACCATTTGTACCAAAATCTTTGCACTACCTGCAGCTCCACTGGCAGGTTTGCCAGGGACTTAGTGTTGTCTAGACAAGAGAATTGTATTGTGCAACTTTCATGGAGTTGAGCAACGTTGTTTCTCCAGCTGTAGGATTTAGATAATAACCAGTGAGGTAAATCTGACTTTTTAACACATGATAAGGTAATCACAGATCCTGCTTTAAAGAGAGGAACTCCATGTAAATAAGTAGGTTGACTGTTTTATTTTTCCTTCTGACTCCTGCAGTTGGGAAGACATCAAACCATGCCATTGTGCTGGCACAGCTCTACACTCAGGGCCAGTGCAAAGGGCTGCACGCCTTCATCGTTCCCATCCGGAAGCTGGGCACCCACGAACCTCTGCCAGGTAAAACATTCATCAGGGTTTAGCACTCATGGAAGGCATTAGCTCTGCTTCTCTCCAGCTGTGAACAGCTGCATGTGTCTTCAGAGAATGATTTGGGTTGGAAGGGATCTTAAGAACATCCAGTTCCAACCTCCTGCCTGGGCAGGGACACCTCCCACCAGCCCAGGTTGCTCCAAGCCCCATCCAACCTGCCCTTCAACACTGCCAGGGATGGGGCAGCCACAGCTTCCCTGGGCAACCTGTTCCAGTGTCTCACCACCCTCCCACTAAAGAAATTCTTCCTAATGTCTAACCTGAATCTCCCCTCTTCTAGTTTTAATCCATTCTCCTTTGTCCTTTCACTGCACACCCTTGTTGAAAGCCCCTCCCCAGCTTTCCTGGAGCCCCTTCACTGGAAGGTGCGCTAAGGTCTCCCTGGAGCCTCCTCTTCTCCAGGCTGAACAATCCCAACTCTTTCATCCTGTCCTTGTAGGAGAGGTGCTCTAGCCCTCAAATCATCTTGTTAAAGAACATGGCTTATTTCACTAGGTGATTTAGTGAGTAGCTGGTAGGTCACAGGGCTTAAACCTTTAAGAGTCTTTCTTGTGACTGAACTACCACTAAATCTTCTTTCCTGTCATGCTTTCAATGTGAAGATGAGTTTGGGATTTGATTCTGCCTGGTGTTTCCCAGCTATGCATTCTGTGAGGCAGCACATCCTTATACTTTCTGGAGGGGAAAGAATACCTTTCATCATCCTCTAGCTAGAAGTGAGTTGGATAATCTTCAGAGACATCTCCCCCAGTGACGGGATAGTAGGACTGCAGGTAAATTATAAAGGGCCCCATGTATTTATGTTCACTTTCCATCAAAGAGGTTAAGGTCCTCATTAGCTGTTCCTCCTAACAATGCCAGGACTTGCTGGAAAACTAAATAGTTTCTTTATTGGAGAAGCCTTGAACCTCTGTGGTGTTTAGTGTCTGGTTCTTAATGCAAGTGATTTTGTCTGTGGCAGGTATTACAGTGGGTGACATTGGGCCAAAATTTGGTTATGATGAAATAGATAATGGCTACCTGAAAATGGACAACTTCAGAATTCCTCGGGAAAACATGCTGATGAAATATGCTCAGGTAAAGCAGTGAACTTCATTTGCTGTTAGAAGTGGATACTCCAGGTGCTCCTCTGTGGTGTATTGAAAAGATTGCAGGTTGCTTGTAAATGCTGCTTGATGAGTTTAGAGCTTGAGAGATGAACACCTAAAAGGGAGCGAACTTTAAACATCGCTGGTTTGGGATTGTTTGGGTTTTTTTGTTGTAGGTTGAACCAGATGGTACCTATGTGAAACCACTTAGTGACAAGCTGACCTATGGGACCATGGTGTTCATCAGGTCCCTCATTGTGGGTGACTCAGCTCGCTCCCTGTCCCGGGCTTGTACCATCGCCATCCGGTACAGCGCCGTGAGGCACCAGTCCGAGCTAAAGCCTGGGTGAGTGCAGTGGCACAGCAGAGCAGCCTAAGTGCTGAGGGAGTGTTCCCAAGTGCTGGGGGAAGAGGGACTGTGACTGATGTTGTTTGCTTTGGCACTGGATGGTTTCAAAGCTCTGTTTCATCCTGCAGAGTCAGTGATCTTTCATTCTCGGCTGCCAAACACCTTCCCTCTGCCAGAGGCCTTTGCTGTGTGGTCTGAGACAGTGGGGCTTGGTGTGGGTGCAGCTGGGACTGTCCAAATGGAGAAGCTACTTAGAGTTGAATAGGACTTTGTGGCACCTTTGGTAGCAACTGGCATACTAACTCATCTGTATCTTGCTCTAGGGAACCAGAACCTCAGATCTTGGATTATCAGACCCAGCAGTACAAACTCTTTCCTCTCCTGGCAACAGCATATGCTTTTCACTTTGTGGGAGCCTACATAAAACAGACCTATCTTCGTATCAGTGGAGACATCAATGAAGGGGATCTGAGTGAGCTGCCAGAGGTACTGTGTCCTCCCTTGATTTTTTGTAAGGTTTCTTCACAGCCATGGTAGAACAGCTGTCAAGCCTTTTTGGCTTTCACTCATGAAACATCTTGTAATTATTTCGATTCAGAGATGCCAAGCCCAGTGATTGCCAGTGACTTTTATTTCTTCATTTGCACTGGTCATTTAACAGCCATTTACAAAAATAAATAAATAAATAGGGAATAATGCACAGTGAGAAGGCTACTGTGATTGTATTTTTTTCTCTCAGGAATGGTGAGATAGCACTTGGGAGTGGAGCTAAGACTGGTTTTACACTTGTGCTTTAGCTTTTTGATTGTTCTTCCAAGTCACTAGGGTAGTACTGGTGTGTTGCTCAAAGGCATCAGTGCTATACTGAGGGAGGAGCTAGGGTTGTAGGATGTTAGTTTTCAGGTAGGAATCCTGTTTGAGAACCTAATGTCACAGTAGGCAATTGAAAACAGTCTGGTACAGGTGTAGAGACAAAAAGGAGGCAGTCCACAAAAGAAATCTTTACGTGTGCAGAGCTTTCCATCTAAACAGTTTGGGTCAGGGAAGAGTCATCACCAGAAAAACAAGACCCTGTGGGACAGAGGAAGGATGGTGTCAGCTCTGTGTGTCTCCTGGGAGCTGCAGTACTTAGCATCTGCATTAAGAATGGAGAACAAAAAATAAAGTGGCTTTGCTTTGGTCCATCAGCTCCATGCACTGACAGCAGGGCTGAAGGCGTTCACCTCCTGGACTGCCAACGCCGGGATCGAGGAGTGCCGGATGGCGTGCGGCGGGCACGGCTACTCGCGCTGCAGCGGCATTCCCGACATCTATGTCACCTTCACCCCCTCCTGCACCTATGAGGGAGAGAACACAGTCATGATGCTGCAGACAGCCAGGTAGGGTAGCTTCTGCCCAGAGACCTTCTTGCCTTGGCATCGTGATCCTTGTAGCTGAAACGATGAGCAGGAGAGTGTCCCGTGTCACCCTGAGACTCGTCTCTCGTGCTTCTGTCCCTTGCCCTGTTTTAACAGAAAAGCATATTCCTGCACCTGACCCTAGGTAAGGTGACATCTCTCCATTCAGACAACTCATGTTGAAGAGTTGCTATCTGTTGGCTCTTCTTTTCAGATTCCTGGTCAAAAGCTACAACCAGGTTGCTTCTGGGCAGCGGGTGACTGGCATGGTGTCCTACCTGAACGACCTCTCCAGGCAGCGCATCCAGCCGCAGCGCGTGGCTGCCAGGAGCGCGACTGTGCGCATCAACGATCCAGCCGGCTTGACAGAGGCCTACAAGGCATGTGCTGCCTGGTAAGTTCACACTTTGCAGCAAAATGGTGTGTCCTGGGAGGTGGCAGTGCTGTGCTGCTCTCTTCGTGCTAGGTTCTCAAGGCGTGGCTTGCACAGCTTGGCTCTATGTGCTCCTTTCAAGAAGTGACACACTTGAGGAGGTTGCATCAGTGTTAAGTGCTTGGAGGTTACACAAGGCTACACACAGCCCACACATAGCCTAGTTACTCTGCTCTGTTCCATTCTGAAGTCTCTTTTTGTTGTGTAAATATAAATATATTCAAGCATACAAATACCAACATTGCTGCAACTGCCTGCTCAGAGATCTATCTGGAGAGATACAATCCTGATATTAAAGCCTCTTGTGAAGGAAGCGTAAGAATAGAAGATACCTACATTTCAGTAGATATTTAGGCACCACCTGTGTGGTTTCAAATGTCATCCTACCCCTCTGTAGCTGTGTTTTAGCTGCAGCAGTGATGGTAGGGGTAGTGATGGTAGCTGCTCACTCCAGGCAGTGTATTCAGTCGTTGCACACAACCTCGGAGTTTTTCTGATGTGTCAAGACTTGTGAAAGTCATGTGAATTTAGTGTATGGGACCTTGTTATCCTGGTGTTATTGCATAACCTGTCTTTTATGTCTGTCTTTTATGAAATAGGCTTGTGGAAACTGCAGCAAAGAACTTGCAAGCTGAACTGAACCACAGAAAGAGCAAGGAGGATGCCTGGAACAGAACTTCTGTTGATCTTGTGCGAGCATCTGAGGTCAGTGATGTACTTGCCCAAGAAGTGTGCTGTAAGAGCTGCTCATCTCTTCATGAACTGATTAACCTTCTGTTTCTGTTAGGCACACTGTCACTATGTGGTAGTGAAGCTCTTTGCAGCAAAGCTGTCTGAGGTCAGTAATGCAGCTGTCCGTGCTGTCCTGACTGATCTGTGTCTCCTGTATGCCCTCTATGGGATCAGCAAGAAGACAGGGGATTTCTTGCAGGTTGGTGTCTTTCTCTTAACACTCCCAAACTCTAGACCCAGTCTTTGTTTGCAAGGATACTTTAAATGTTTAACTGGAGAAATGCTAAGGTATAAGGTATTGTTGACTTGCAGAAGGCCATTAGCAGTGCAGGTCTGATTGAAGGCTCTTGTCTAGTTTCTCTTGTGATCCACAAGAAGCAGACTTGGATGATAAATGGTAACATGGCATCTGTCTAGGTTAACTGAAATGGTTCCCAGTTGGTGACCAGGTGTATGTTAAAAAACAAGGAGATAATAAAGGAGATGCAAGTTAGACATGCTGTAAGAGCTGTATGGATTTGTAAAGCAGTGCACAAACACTGTGACTCTGGAACAGGGTGTAGTGGTGACCTTGGCAGTGCTGGATTAATGGTTGGACTCAATGATCTTAAAGGTCTTTTCCAACAAAAACCATCCTGTGCTTCTGTGGAAAGAGGGATATTGTACTGCAGATCTTAAACCAGCTTTCAGTTAAGGGGTTCACATTGTCAGGCACTACTTCTCTTCATTCTTCCAGTTTGAGAATGTATTTGTGCACCAGTGGTTTATTTTGCCTTCAGGCAGACATGGTATGTGTTGTCTTCCCCTTTTTCCTCTTTGCTGCTGACCAAAAACTTCCCTGAAGCCAGGAGGAATTTCATACACACGTGTGCACGTTCTTCTGGAAAGCTTGCTACAGAGGTTAACAGAACAGGCACTGAAGGATTTAGGGTCTCCCATCAAAGATGGAATAGCTAGCCAGCATGGTGGGCTCTGGTAGCCAGCATGGTGGGCTGTGATAGCCATCCCCTCCTGTTTGTACCCTATGGCAGATTGCCAGTTTGTATACTTGGCACTGAAGAAAAAACCACAAGTGTTTTCTGGACTGCTGGACATTGGTGTGGGGAAAAGCTGACCTATGTTAGGCTGTAGGGGAGGGAAGATTAGTGGAACTTTCCTACTTTCCTGCTCATCTCTGTTGTTTGTTCCCACCAAGGCGGGTATTCTGAGCGATGCCCAAATCACCCAAGTGAACCAGCGTGTGAAGGAGCTCCTGGCTACCATCCGTCCCAATGCAGTAGCCCTGGTGGACTCCTTTGACTTCCATGATGTACATCTGGGGTCTGTGCTTGGCCGGTATGATGGCAATGTCTATGAGAACATGTTTGAGTGGGCAAAGAAATCCCCACTGAACAAAACACAGGTAAAGAAGCTGTATTTCTTCCTCTTAGGTCACACGTGCCCAGAGAAATCATTTTGGGTGGTTAAAAGAAATTGCTCTCATGTAGTACTTGAGTGTTGCATGGCTGCCCTAAGGCTGTAGCTACAGCTGAGCTAATAAAAGAAACTGGGCTGACGTGTCAGTGTCCCTCTTCCATCAGCCAGAACAGAACTCTGAATCCTGTCTTGGTGGCCTTTTCTGGCTTGGTTTGACTTGGACAGACTTATCCCCTACAATGGGCTCCCACCAGAACTTACTCCATGTTTTTGTGCTTCTGGAGTCAGTGGTGCTTAGGAGCTTCCCTGCACTCCCCTTAGGAGTCCTCTGCCAGTTTGCTCTGAATTAAAATGCCAAAGAATTATCTGTATGGATAGAAGATGCCTTTCATTATTCCAAGAAAGGTAGTGAGGAAGCTGTTTGTTTTGCCTTATATTTTCACCTTTGTGTCATAAAGACACTCAAATACAAGACTTAGCTGACTGTTCTTAAATCTCCAGAGTGCCTCTGATTCCAGTTTCCTTAGTATAAAAACACACTGCAAGAAGAGCTAAAACTGTTCTAAAGCTGAGGCCTGACCTTGTTGTAACCACTGTCTTCTCCTCTTACAGGTTCATGAGTCTTTTCACAAACACCTGAAGCCACTGCAAGCCAAGCTGTGAAGCCTGCTGGTTTTTTTCAAATGCACTCTTCTCCTGACCTGAAAACTGGGTGTTCACATCCTTTCTTCAGGCACTGAAATCAAACTTTTCAAATCCTGGTAGCTGTAGGACAGTGAATAATTGTAGCCTTTCTTTCCACTTCTGTAAATTGAGGAGGTGCTTGAGGAGAGTGCATAGGAATTGATGCCTGGTTTTAAAGTGCAATTATAATCATACAATTAACCTTCTAAAAATCTGGGAAAGCTTTATGGATTCATACAAGGATTGCTTTTGTGAAGCTGCTAACTAGAGAGAAGAAGTTACTGTCAACTGCTCTTACAGGTTCATGAGTCTTTTCACAAACACCTGAAGCCACTGCAAGCCAAGCTGTGAAGCCTGCTGGTTTTTTTCAAATGCACTCTTCTCCTGACCTGAAAACTGGGTGTTCACATCCTTTCTTCAGGCACTGAAATCAAACTTTTCAAATCCTGGTAGCTGTAGGACAGTGAATAATTGTAGCCTTTCTTTCCACTTCTGTAAATTGAGGAGGTGCTTGAGGAGAGTGCATAGGAATTGATGCCTGGTTTTAAAGTGCAATTATAATCATACAATTAACCTTCTAAAAATCTGGGAAAGCTTTATGGATTCATACAAGGATTGCTTTTGTGAAGCTGCTAACTAGAGAGAAGAAGTTACTGTCAACTGGAAAGCTAGCAGGATTTCACTACTAAGTAGTTAACAGCCCTCAGTCAAAAGCTTCTAATGAGCAGTTGTGTCCTTCCACCAAAAAAGCATCAATGTCTTGACTTATTTTTTTTTTAGCATTATTTTTTTAAGATTAGCACCACCTCTCTCCTTCTTTGGCAAATATTGATGCTGTCAGAAGTCTCCTGCATAGTTTTGTGCAGATGAATCTGCATGTGGCACTGCTTCCATGATGTAGCTGGGAAGCAAATACCCCATCCTTCTGTGCTTCATTCATCTTTCCAGAAGAAATCTTCATGCTTTCCAGTACATCTTCCTTTCACTGCCCTGCAGAGACTCCTTTTGCCTGTGTGCCATCTCCAGCACTGGCACCTTACTCTTTGTTAATAGGAAGTCAAAGGAGAACATAGTGATGCTGCTCTAAGGCAAAAAAAACCCCACAAAAATCAAGTAGTAACAATCAGCTCAGTGCTGATAATAGATGCTCTGCCCTTCTTTTAACTGTTAGTATTTTCATAGCACTATCTCAAAGCACTTTACAAAGATTAATGATGATGATTTCATGTGAAAAACCACATGGAGTGGTACAAAGTGCAAATTTGACCTGGAATGATGAAGCCAGTATTCAAGGGCAGAAGTCAGTTGACCAGGGTCCTTGGGTCTTCAGATTGTTCTGGGATGTTCTGGTTTTTAAAGGCATTCTTCAAGACAATGACAATCCCAAGGGAAGTGTCCAGATTGTTTTGGGTTTGTTTTGGTTTGTTAGGTTGTTGGTTTTTTTCCTATCCACGCATTTCCAAGGAGCTCTCTCTGATTTCTGCCTGATTTTGTTTTTGTATTGACTTGGGATTTGCACAGTGCTGTCTGGATTTAACAGATGGAAGATTTAGCTTTTAGAAGAACCTACTGATGCCCAGTGAAATCAGTGCAACTACAACTAGGCAAAATCATTGCTGTTTTTTGACACCAATAACTTTGTCCAGTAACAATAAAACCTCTCTTTGCAACAGATAAGAGCAGCTTTGATCTTAAAATGGTAAAAACCTTCAGCATACACCCAAGTCCGGAGGAGGGCCATGAAGATGATCAGAGGACTGGAGCACCTCTCCTACAGGGACAGGCTGAGACAGTTGGAGCTGTTCAGCCTGGAGAAGAGAAGGCTCCAGAGGGACCTTCCAGTGCCTGAAGGGGCTGCAGGAAAGCTGGGGAGGGGCTTTCAACAAGGGCTTGTAGTGAGAGGACAAGGGCTAATAATTTTAAACTGGAAGAAGGGAGATTTAGGTTAGACATTAGGAAGAAATTCTTCAGTGTGAGGGTGGTGAGACACTCGCCCAGGTTGCCCAGGGAAGCTGTGGCTGCCCCATCCCTGGCAGTGTTGGATGGGGCTTGGAGCAGCCTGGGCTGGTGGGAGGTGTCCCTGCCCATGCAGGGGGGGTGGATCAAGGTGGTCTTTAAGATCCAACCCAAACCATTCTATGATTCTATGATCCTGCAGTTCTGAGAAGTTGGTTCTCTTGACAGCTTTGGTTCTGTTGATGTCTTTTAATTTTGGATCACTTTTCATGGAGGAGTTTTTCCTGGCACTAGCGATCGTCAGACACAATCTTTGGTTCCACGTGCAGTAGCTGAACAGAAAGTAATGTTTAATTTTAAATAAAATAATGAAACTTGCCTTTTGGCTGCTGAGTCTTTCAGGTTGTGAATGGAACCAGTGCTCTTGAGGGTACCAAAGGAGGCTGAAGAAGGCTTTGCCTTCTCTTTATTCAGTAGACCAGGGGAGGGGCAAGTTAAAAATGTTAATTACAACCCTACTAGCTAACTGCATGTACAGATTGAATAAATTACAAAACTGTGTTTTCAGACAGAATGTCTTTCTTTCGTGCATTGCCTTCAGTGGATTTCATTTCAAGTGATGGGTGAAGTAGAATGAATTCTTCAGAAGGCTTTAATTAGCTGGATTTCATTTATCTTATTTCCAGTCTGACCTTTCTGGCTTTGCTGTGCCCACAACCACAGGGAAAACAAAACTGACATTGGCTTCATTACAGCTCCCAGGCAGCAAAACTGATCACTGTGATGATTTAACAAGAGTTTGGAAGCAGAAGCTTTAATTGATAGAAGCTGTTTCTTTACCTTCCCCCCACCCCTCATCATTTTGGAGGAGATGGTGATAGGAAAGCAAATGCTGTGCTTACCTGCTGTTGGTGGGGATACTGAGCACCCTTTTCCATCTTGCTGTTGCTGGTGATACCCCAATGCCACAATCTGGTAGGATTTGCTGTGTTTCACCATCAGGAAACCATGCTTAAACTGCCCTGGTTAGGTGTCCTCCATTCTTTGTCTAAATGTTCTGGAATGGTTGCCACAAGCGTGGAGCCTCTTGTGCTTGATTATTAAGTGATTTCAGTGTCAAGTAACGACACTTGGGAGCTACACTGTTCTCCTTGCAGAGTCTGAAACAAGCAGTCTGTGACCGCGGGTTCCAGTCTGAGCTGAACGATGGGCTCTCGAAAATGCCCTTTTCTGCTGCAGGCTTTGGAAGGAGCCCGTGTTCCCACCTGGGTTTGCAGCACGCGGGGTGAAAGCCACTGGTAGGTGGGTCTGCAGGTCAGGAAGTCTCAAGAAGGCGAGTGTTTCCCCGGGGAGTGAGACCCCCAGGGACAGTGAGACCCCCACACCCAGGGATGGATGGTGAGACCCCCAGGGACAGTGAGACCCCCACACCCAGGGATGGATGGTGAGACCCCCAGGGACAGTGAGACCCCCACACCCAGGGATGGATGGTGAGACCCCCAGGGACAGTGAGACCCCCACACCCAGGGATGGATGGTGAGACCCCCAGGGACAGTGAGACCCCCACACCCAGGGATGGATGGTGAGACCCCCAGGGACAGTGAGACCCCCACACCCAGGGATGGATGGTGAGACCCCCAGGGACAGTGAGACCCTCACACCCAGGGATGGATGGTGAGACCCCCACACCCAGGGGTAGTGAGACCCCCAGGGATGGATGGTGAGACCCCGAGGGTGGTGAGCCCCTCACAGCCAGGGATGATGAGACCCCCAGAGATGGACGGTGAGACCCCCAAGGGGCAGTGAGACCCCTCCCCACCCAGGGATGATGAGACCCCCACGGCCAGGGACGGTGAGATCCCCAAGGACGATGAGACCCCCCCAGGGATGGACAGTGAGACCCCCAAGGGGCAGTGAGACCCCCACACCCAGGGATGATGAGACCCCCAGGGATGATGGTGAGACCCCCTCACCCAGGGATGGTGGTGAGACCCCCAGGGATGATGATGAGACCCCCGGGGATGATGATGTGACCCCCAGGGATGATGATGAGACCCCTCACCCAGGGATGATGAGACCCCCAGGGATGATGGGACCCCCAGGGATGGTGATGAGACCCCCGGGGATGATGATGAGACCTCTAGGGATGGTGAGACCCCCAGGGATGATGATGAGACCCCCAGGGATGATGATGAGACCCCCAGGGATGATGAGACCCCCAGGGATGATGATGAGACCCCCAGGGATGACGAGACCCCCGGGGATGATGATGAGAC